GAAGCAAGCTACAGATATTAGCTAATGACTGGAGCAAAGAATCAAGCAGACTGTGTAAAGAAGAAAGATTGCCAAAAGAGGAATTGTGGAGAAGTCTTTTCTTTGTTCTGTGTAGGATAATTGTGGATATCAGAAAGGCCCTGACTAGATATACTGAATGCTATTGAAGTCCTAGTAAAATCAGAAGAACCTATTATGGGTCCTGACACCAGATGAATGTTATTTCATAATCAGCACTGCAGGGTTCGACTTCCTTGAAAAGAGAAAATGGGAGGCTATTAAAAGTGAGACCATATCTGATATCAGCTTGCAAGAAAATCACTACTTCACTCCTCAGTTTTAGCTAAACTCTCCACCTGCCTCACCAAAGCCCAATTCAAATTGATAGATTTTTCTACCATAGCTAGTTATTGTCTCTTGAATACTAGTGAAAGATTACTGGCCATCAAAAAGACCTTCCTGACCTTTACAAGAATGTTAGGTCTTCAATTCTATATCCAATTACCAGGAGTGAGCCCCACTGAACTCAGTTGGACTCACCTGTAAGTAGGTAAGTCTGTGGTGGGCAGCTCTTTTGTTCAAGTCTTCCTCAATTCTTCATTTAGAATAATCAAGGAGGCCAAAATCACTATACCACACTTAATGAAATGAAATACTAGGCTTACTGGAGTCTCAATTTTTTGATACATAATTTTAAAAATTGTTTAGAAGTAGGAATGCAATTTCATTTCAACATGCAATAACATGTTTCTATCTTGTCAACTGCAATGTCAGCAGAACTATGCATTAGCATTCCCCTACTGCAGCTGAATCCTTGTCTCTTTGGGAAATCAGCAAAATGATCATGGCAGGGAAGGTAGAAGCAATATTGTACTCTGTAAAAATGGAATATCTAAATGTCTTTCTACCTGGCTCTTTTTTAAAAAAACTGCCTTTAGCTTTCTTTAACTTTTTTGCTTTCTTAACTGAACCTTCTTAACCCAAGAATATCTCTAAGAGCTCTTGATAGAAAGTCTTTTGCCAAACAAAATGGAAGAAATCCAAGTTATCTGTATATACACATGATTCTTGAGATAGTGAGCCTAAGGGGCTTAATTTAAAATAAAATATATATATATTCTTAATTAAAAAAGAAAGACACACTGCATCAGGCTACCAATCCTGGATCATGGCAGCCATTTGCTCTCAAAAGTCCAAATGTGTTTCTGGGGGGAAGTGGTTGCCTAACCTATGCTAAACACACAGGAGTGTCATTTCCATGTAGTACTACAAAGGGCTGCATAAAGATACATAGTAAAAAAAGAGATTTAGCTAATAATTTTCAGATATTTCAGGCAGGTATTATTTAACTGCAGCCATGTTATTGGTTGGGATGGAAAAAGATATCAATTTGGCAGGCACAATCTCTGTCATTATGGTTACTATAAAGGGAGGAATAGAACTGCCCAATAAGGAGAAAAGGCCATTACGTTTTTAAAAAACCATTTCAAACTTCAACAGTTCTTTTTATGTTTTCAAATTAACAGCTTACCTGTTATGGTAATTGAGCATAAGTACAGGTTACAAATTTAATCATAAAGAAAAACTCTCTGCACCTTTTAGTGTAAATATATGGCTTATAAATATCAGTTAATAAAAAGACAGAATGATCAAAATACTTTCCCATATTTAACTTTTTTATCATTTTATACCCATTTAAAAAATTCCAAATTCTGTATGGCTACAGAAGCTGTTTCAAGCTCCTTGTGTGACATGCAGCCAGCATACCAAAGCCCTTTCTGTATCTTGCTTGCAAAGGCATGGGTGCCTGGTATTTGAAATCCTCTTCTCAAACCACCAAATTTGGAAACAAACAAGCAAACAAGCATGTTTGTTTAGAAGTGCAGAAAATAATGATCAACTTTAATGGTAGATTTATAGTTAATATTTAAAACAGAAGCTTACTGCTGTGAGCACATCCTGTCACTACACCAATTTTATGGAAA